CCTCTGACCCTCTCTGCCCACATGACTCTGGTAGAGTTTTACAGCTGCAGTTGGCAGGATTGCTGCAAGCAGATGAACCTACACGCAGCCTAGCCACTCCTATATGCGGGAGGGATGGTTGGCCAAGCTGCCCATCCCGGAACTTGTGTCCCCCGAACAGGGCTGAAGGCAGGCAGGAGCTGGTCAGCTGCAGCCATCCCCTGCAGCCTGCAGAGCACCTCAGGCTCTACCACGCTTCACAGGCACTCACCCAGCCTCTGCCAACACCCCCTTTCACTCCATATCCCTAATACCCAGAACTTCCAGCAGTGTGGTCACACACCTCCCAGGGGCCCCACCCCCATCTGTGGACACATCTGCCCTCCACACTGACCTCCTCAGATGGAGCTCCTGGCACAAGGCTGGATACCAAAGAGGCATCCTGCCCCAGGAGAGCGAGGGAGTCTGGGTGCCCCAGGGGTCCATCTACTCACGGGGCTATCATCCAACCCTCTGGTCCCACTTCCCGGGGAAAACAAAACTTTACCACGGCCTGACATCCGGCCGGCCAGTCCTGGCAGCTACACCGTGCTTGAAAGTTTCCCTTGCATTAATTTCAGACGGAACATAAATATGGGCTGTGATGCCTCTTCCAGGAGGAGAAGGCTGGAACCCGGTGTCCTCGCTGGAGAGAAAACACGTGTGCTGGCCAAGGGGAGCCGGGGGCGCCGGAGCCTCTGTGGGAACATCTGGCTCTCCCTGCCTCCCGCCCAGCCCCACAACACGGCCTTGAAATTGCCCTGCTAATTGCTGCATTGTTCTGGCTGAGCACTCGCGTGCCTCTCCGGTCTGCTGGACCCTGGAAGGTGTATGTACAAGACGTGCACTGGGGTATGCGGTGAGCAGAGACCCAGCCGGATGACCCTGCGCAAGTCCAGGCTTCTCACCGCACCTCAGTTTCCCCATCTTAAAAGGCTGCTCCAAGTCATGTTGGAGTAGCACCAAGTCCCCGGGAGGCTCCCTGAGTAGGGACTTGATGGGATCGTAGTGGTAGGAGGACCTGAGACCTAAGGAGGGAAAGGAGGAGAGCCCAGTGAGGTTGGAATTTCTGAGTCCCAGTCCCCAGGCAGGAGGACTCTTCGGGGCCCCCCCAAGGGCCAGAGGGCTGGCTGGGCCTTCAGGCCTGCGGACCTGGTACTGCTCCCTGAGCCTCATGGCCCCGACTCAGCTCTCCCTGCTCACACACTGTTACTCCTGAGGGAGCCTTCTCCTGCATGTACAGAAGTATGCCTTAAGTGAGACATGGCCTGGGGCACTGGAGACACCAACACCACCACAGCCTCACTGTTTCCACGAACTGGAATCCCCACCCCTCACCAGATCCTTGCTCTTCCTCTTCCCTCTGGCCCCTCCCTCTGGAGCCCAAGCATCTCAGGAGTGCTCACTACACAAACCCTCCTCTAAGAAACCTTCCCTGATGTCCGTCTCTCCTCTTTCCCTTCCTTTTGCCTCTTGGGTGCTCGCTGTCGATGTGTCTTTGCATGTCTTGGCCCTGTCCTGTTCTCTCTCTGATCTCTGTGCCCACAGCCCTCCTCTCCTCTGGAAAGACTGCCCTCTGTCTCCCCAAGTCTGGGTGCTCTCTCTCCTCCTTCAGTGTCTCTCTGCCCTTCTCCTCCCCGCCCCATTCAGGCCCTACACCCGCGGTCCTCCCTGCCTCCTCCCCTGCCCATGCGGACTCAGCAGATGAAAGTGAATGTGTCTTCCTGTGGAGTGCTGGCCAGCGAACAGCTGTCAGTGCTGGAAAGAGCAACTGAGTTGTGGCCAGGAGACCTGGGAAGCCTGGGCAGATGGTACAGGCTGAGCCCTAACACCAGGGCCCCTTGGAGACCTTCCAGGACCTTCTGTGCAGATCCCAGGTTTTCTGACTTCAGAGCCAAGCCCAGAGCCTCCTGCCAGTCTCCTGGGTCAGTAAGCACTGGGCCCTGACTCAGGGGCTGGTCTGCCGGGGGGGAGGGGTTAAGCTCCTGGGAGGGGTGGAGTTTGGAAGAGTATTACCGAGGGCCTGGACTGGGCTACACCAGCAGTGATGCGAGAGCTCAGGTCTCTCTGGGACAGCATGAGCTCATGCAAAGGATGTGCAGGAGGAGGCTTTACCATTCATTCATTCATTTATGGAGCCTCTGCTGTCAAGTGCACTAAGGACCAGGATGAACTAGGCATACCCTTGCCCTTGAAAAGTTCACAGCCCCCTTGGATGACTTGTTGGCAGCTCCCTGTGACAGCCTGATCTGGGTGGAAGGAGATCATGCAAGCTGCAGGGAGGAGAGTGGGTAGCAGAGCCTGAGACCCAGGGCAGCCCTGGAATGAAAGGGAACTATGTGTGGCTTCCGAGTATGTGTAGGTGAAGACGTCCTGTGAGCTACTGGGCACGTGATTGGAGCCATGGTGACATTTGTGTGGAAGGTCTATCCATGCAGAAAGAGCAGAGCGAGGGGAGGCCCAGGAGTTAGAGGACATTCCTTCACCAAGAGCCCCAGCAGTGTGAGATGAGGGGAGCACCGAGAGAGCCCACACAGGAGTGGATGACAGGCGGAGTGGGGAAAGGGGCTCAGGCACCACATGGAATCAGTGCCTCCTCGACGTGTGTGGGGAGGAAGCAGATGTGACCTCAAGAAGGTGCAGCCAGGATCTGAGAAAGGGGCCCTGGGTGTTTCCATGGCCTCAGAACACCTAATGTTTTCCATCAGACTGCAAGGAGAGTGGTCTAGATCAGCAGTGTTGAGCCTGAGGCTGCACATGGCAGCAACAACCAGACCAGGAGCCACTGCCCCACAGCACAGGAGAGGGGGGCCCCCACGAAGCAGCCCTGACCATCGCTGTAGTCTGCAGCTGTTTGCTGCTGCTTCTCTAACCTGAGGCCAGGCAGCCATGGGGGTTCAGCAGTGTCCACAGATCAGAGAGGAGATACCTGTGCTGCGGGATTGAAGCCCCCGAGCTCTGCTACCCGGGCACTGGGGCTGTCCCCACGGGTTCCACCATGCCATGAGAGCAAACAAGGGGGATACTGTCCGCAGGTGTCTCTTAGGACTACATTCTGAGTCTTCCCAACACTCGTTCCTCCTGCCTCCTTTGCCTGTGCAACTGCCTGCAGGAATTGGTCAGAGGGCTGTGGGTCCCATTGGCACCTGGGGAAACACAGCTGGTTTCCCAGGCAGGACTCCCTGGCTAAAGCCGAGATCCAGGAAGGGCCTGATCCTGCTGCTGAAGCTGAGATCTGGAGCTCAGGAACAGCCTGAACCTGCTGCCTTGTCCATGTTTCTTCTTTGCAGGGACTCCCACTCAGATCCCATGTGCTGTTTCCAAGCCTTGGGTACCCATCCCTTCAGTGCCACCCTGCTCCCAACCTCACCTGGCTCAGTGGTCCCACTCTTCAGCCAGCAATGCCTCCTCCAGAAAGTCTGCCTGCTCCTGGGCTGGCTAGATGCCTCTCAGGTCTCCTATGACCTTCTGTGCTTGCTCCATGTCCTACCTTGTGCTGGGGCACCAGAGCCCAGTTCTTGAGACTCTGACTGTGCCCGGACAGGACCTCCTGCTTCAGTACTGTCCAGTGCAGTGAGCACCCTCTACTTGCTCAGTGAAGGAATGAACCTGTGGGGGGGGGGGGGGAAGAAAGGGGATCCCTTCCTTATCAGGCCCTCTGGAGGAGACCAAAGCTTCCCATGAGTTCCAAGAGCTTGAGCAGCCTTCTCCCTTTTACTTGGGCAGCAACCAGTGGCATTAGAGGGCTGTGGGTGTGCCCAGGGTCTCACAGTGAGTGCTGGACCAGATCCCTGTGGCATTCCCATTCTGGTGATATCTCCCAGTGATTCCTAGGTGGAGCTGCAGGATCTCGGAGCTGGGGGACTTCCTGGGATATAGGATGTGGACTACAGGGTACCCCCTTGGTCCAGCCACAGCAATCCCAATCTGCCGCCCCGTGTGCCAGGACCCCTCTCCCTTCTAACAATTCACCCACCCTAAACCTCACTGTACTGTCAGCAGACTGCTCTTCTGGCTCCTACCTGTCACAATTGCCACAGGCAATCACTGATAGTGCAGGGACTTCCCCCCCCCAGATTCTGGGATGAATGCTGAGCTGGAGGGGAGAGGGCTGCCCACAGGAGACACCAACTCTGGTGGCTGAGACCTGGGCAGTGGGAGGGTTGGGGATATCCCAAGACACTGAATCTCAGCAGCTGCAGCATCCACATTCCCTCAGCCCCCTAGGAATCCTTCCTAACCAGAACCTGGGCAGAGCCTCCCTTGGCCATGCCCCTCACCCCAGCTTTTAACTGCATTGCCAGATCTGTGTCTAGAGAGTGCCTGGGGCTGCAGAGCAAGTGTGCTGTGTGTTTGCACCTCCCCAAGGCCACTGTCGGTGCCTGCTGGGCCGTGTGGTCCAAGGGGTCTGGTTGGTCTCCCCCACTCTGATCATGTGCCTCGTGAGTCCTCAGTGGCCATCCCTGGACCTGACACACTGTGTGTGCTCCATAAGGATTAGGTGGATGGTGTGTGCCATGAACACCCAAGCTAGGGGAGGAAGGAATCTTGCCAAGATGCACCATAGAGCTGCTGGTCTTGGGGCTGGTCCTTGCATGCCTTCTGCCAGCAGCTACTCTACTGGACAGTCGGGGCTGTGATCAGCTTATGGTCTAAAACAGCTATGGACCCAGAAGCACTTGGGAACCCTTACTACGCATCAGCAGCCCTTGCTGCCTGTAATCTTCACAACAACCCTGACTGTTGCTACTGGGATCGCTGCACAGATGAGGAAACTATACAGATGAGGAAACTGAGGCACAAAAAGAATCTGTGCTAATCTGTTAGCACAGAACCAGAATTTGGACCCATACAAGATAACTCAAGAACCACATCACACCCACTCATGGGAGTCCGGGGTCTCAACTTTGGTATAAGCTGCTGTGCCCAGACACAAACCCAGAGAAGTCCCCAGTGGCTGATAGCTTGTGGCTGTATTTCAGGTCACTTTCTGGGGAACAACACTGTCATCGATGTTCTGAGGCAAGCCGGGCTGGAGGTCGACCACACACCTGCAGGGCAGGCCATCCACAGGTAAGCAGTCGCCTCGGGACCAGCTGGCCTGCTGTTTCCTGTCGCGGGGTCATGCCTGATGCCTGCTGTATGACTGGCTGCACCCCTGCCTTTCTGGCCAGGCCCACAAGAGAGAGCTGGAAAAAGCTTCTGGTGAGATAGGCCTCATGGGGATGGGCCCTGACCAGGCAGGCCATAATGCAGTGGGAGCAGTGGGAGGCTGGGTGTACCACTGACAAGAGGTCAGAGTGGGCCAGGGTGCAACCGTAGAAAGGGCAGCAATCTTCAGATTTAGACACTGGAGATTGGGTGGGAGTAGAAGGACTCATGGGCCTCCGGGGTCGGTTCCTCAAGGTGGTTTACCTGGTCCTAGCTAGAGAGGGTACCTGGCCTCTTTCTTGTGTCCCACAGAAGCCCTGCTGACCTCACACATCTTGCTCCCGACATGCCTTCTCCATTGTCACCTCTAGCTGTGCCCTTATTCTTGGCTTTCAGGCAGGACACACCCCTCTGCTCACTACCAGCCACTCTTCCTTCCCATGAGAAGGCATTGCCCGAGGGAGGGTAGTGCCCACCCCTCTTTGGACCCACAACACCAGTTCCAGGCTAGGCATACACAGGTGTCAGTAGGTGCCAGCCTTGGCAACCCTGGAGGTCAAGGTCCAAATGCCCAGACTCAGATTCAGTGTCCATTCCAGCCTTTATGTGGCGATCTTCCCAACAACCCACAGGGCAGCTGTAGAGTGAGTCTGCCCAACCAACCTGGTGAGCTCAAAACTTCCTGAATCTTCATAGCTCTCTTTTTATCAAGCTGCCTTGAGTTAATTCCCCAACAGCTGCAGTGCCACCCAGCAGCCAGGGTTCCAGGATCCTGAGGTTGCCACTGGGGCTGGGGGTAGGTGGGCCAACCTGACATCCTTCTTGCCCTCAAGAGAGAGAGAAGCCCCTCACTCACTATAAAGTTTGAGAGTGCAGCAAGAAACAGCTGGCTTGCTGTCTTAGGCAGGCAGGCTGCCCACGGAGACACAATTTCCTCTCCCAGCCTGCTCCCGGGACCCACTGTGCCCCAAAGGAATTGCACTGGGATATGGATGAGAAGGAATAAAGAGGAAAAGAGTGGCAGATATTCCTGGTAGGAACACATACCCCGTAAATGCCACAAACATGCCCAGGTGACACCTGAACATCTGCCTGTGCTGGTGGCCAACACAGAGAGGTCTGCTGTGAGCTGGATGCTGCATGAGGTCCTTGTGATACCCCTGTGAAGCAGGGGGCAGTGTTATTCCTGTGGTACAGCTTAGATGGCCAATAACTTACCCATCGTCACGCTGCTTGTGAGTGGCAGAGTCCTCAGCCATCTGCCTCCTGCCACAGCGCTGACTCTCACTCAGGCCTGCCTCCACTGACAGGTGCACAGCAGACGGGTGCTGGGTGCAGTGTGGATGCTGTGATGGAAATATGTCTGGCAGCGCGCAGCGGCTTCAGCTGCTTCCCACTACCAGGACCCCTTCCAGCTGCTTTGCCTGCATCTGCCTGCACAGTCCTCATGCTACCCACTCCATTTCATAGAATGAGAGACTGAGGCATGGCAAAGTTAGGTAACCACTTTCCCAAGGTGGTGGGATAAATGAACTCTGACTAAAACCCCCAAAGGTCGAGCCCCTGCTTGCACTCTCACTTCCTCCTTACCTGGCCTCAGCTCTCTCCCTGCCGGTGACCAGAACAGCCTTTGGTACCGGGAACTGGCAGGTGTTTTTCTATTCTTAATTGTAATGAAATGAACAGCTCTTCCACTTGCTGGTATACCTGCTAGGTATAAAGAAAAGGCCATTAAGCTATGGAAACGCCCTCACAAGCTGGGCTAGCACCCCCCTGGAGCAGCACACCCCCTCCTCCCGCTATCCTTTCTTGTCTCCTTTGCAGCTCTTGCCCTCCAACATTCTGAATCTCTTCCAGTTTCCTTCCTGGAATTCATGCCCTGTAGAGTTGGGGGACAGAGGTGTTGTGTTCCCTGCTGATGCCTGGTTCCTGCAGCAGGGCACTGTCTGCAAGGTCTTACTGACTACACAATAGAAGTCACCCCACACCCACCAGGCCTGCACTGCTCTGGCTGGCCCGGAGGGACAATCTGCCTGATCCCTGGCCGTGGTGACCTCCCCACCGAGTCACATGCCTTGTCATGCAAGGGCAGCCTGCTGCCACACGTGTGCCTCACATGCTGCCTCCTCTTCCCAGCCCTGCTGCCGGGAGCCCAGCACCCCTGCCAGAAGGGACCTCGGCAAGCCCAGTGCCAGTGACGCCCGCCATGGCCATCCCCTCGTCAGCCTCAGTGACCCCGACTGCCCCTACTGAGGAGGAGGACCCAGCCCTGTCCCCGCACCTGCTGCTGCCGGATAGCCTCAGCCAGCTGGAAGAGTTTGGACGGCAGAAGAAGTGGCACAAAAGGCACAACAGACACCAGCGGCCACGACAGTTCAATGACCTCTGGGTCCGCATCGAGGACAGGTGAGCTGGGTGAGAGGCCATCCTGTGAGAGCTGGGTCTATATCCAGGGAGCCCACTGGAACTGCCCATGGCTGGGCACGCTGTTGTCAGGCAAGCCTGCTGGGAACAAACTGCGGCCAGTGGGTTCTGAGCAGAAACAATAGCTGTGCTCGCCCATGCACAAGAGACCTCTGCTCTTCTGTAGGGCTCATAAAGCATGTCCATGTCCTTTCATCCTCACAAGATGAGAAAGAGCAAGAGCAAGCACAATTGTCTGTCTTTCAGAGATAAGAATTCTGGTGCAAGTACTTGGGCTAGCCAATAAGCCACCTCTCAGGATGGTTGCAACCCTATCACAGCGTGTGCTTCCAAGTCCTAGCCCTACTCCAATCCCAGCTTCCTGCTGACATGAACCTTGGAAGGCAACAGGGGACAACTTCAGTGTGTGAGTCCTTGCCACTCAAGCGGGGACCAGATTTGGTTCCAGTCTCATGAAACCTGGTTTGTCCCTGGCTATTGCAGACATTTGGGGCTAGAAACAAATAGATATTTCTCTCTCTTTTTCTCTTTCTCTTTCTCTGTCTATCTTTCTTCCCTTTCCTCTTAAAACTTTTTAAAAAATTATTCTAACAATGAAGGAGCCAGTAGCTTCCCTCAGGTACAGTAGATATTTTCCTGGCAAGAGTTGGTTTTGCACTTTGCACTCAGTTCCCTAAAGGCATGCCTGGTGTACAGGATAGGATCCATGTGGCCGTGGACTGGAGGTGAGACCAAGAGAGAGTGGCATGAGCTGGCTGTGCCAAACAGTGTGAGCTCCCTGTGCCTGCATGGCCAACGATCTAGCAAGGAGGTAGCAGGGAGGTGGCACAGGGACTCCGACCTGCAACAGGCAAGGATTGCTGGCCTGGGCGCTGTGTGCTTTGTCTCAGGAGAAAGTGTGTAGATGAACCTTGTTGAAAGTGGGTGGGTGCAGAAGACATCCTGGTGTGCCAAGACCCCTTAACCCTCTTCCTCTTTGTTCATCCCGCCACCTGCTCTGCCACCTCAGCCTGTCTCTCACCAGATTACTTTCTGCCACCTCTACCTGTGCTCTCCATACAAAGTGGAGACCACTGGGCAGCAGGAGCTGCGCCATACAGTGAACAGTATAACAAGGACACTAGCAATGTCCCAAGGAGAGATTGTCATGGAGGAACAAACAGGGTCCTTCCCACTGTGTAACCCAGCCCTGGCCATGGCTTTCCCCTGCTGTGGGTCCAGGAGTCTCAGAGTCTCCATCTGGGATCCTTTGAATCCATCAGTGTTGCTCTCGGCAACCTTGGAGAAGTGCTGTGGCTACCTGCGGGGCCTAGGGCAGACCTCATGAACCAGAGCAACTGCTGCTGATGGTGCACCTGCCGAGTCCCCGTGTTATGGGAAATGCTGACTTAATTCTGTGACTCTAGGTGGTAAGCCAAGGCCCAGAGCAGGTAAGCGCAGCTTGTCCAGAACCACTTGAGCCAGCCAGAGCTCCCATTCATAATTTCAAATTTGTGTGGAGGCGTACACTATCAGAAAGACTTGCAACAGATAAGAGGCCAGCACCAGGAACCTATGGGGGTGAGCTCTAAGAGCCCAACTTGGGTTACCTGGATATGAACTTCTACAGAGCCCTGGCTGACCCTGCCTGCCGAAGGAGACATAATTACACTGAGCACAGGCCTTCCCATTTAGCCAGGGGTGAGAGGCACTGGAGCTGCCAGGGAAGCGCTGGGTGAAGGAACAGGCTGGCAGCCCTGGCGGGCCCAGGAGATAGGCTGGCCTCTCAGAGCCCTGATTGCCAGGGCACATTAGGCACCCAACCAGTGATGAGTCCTGCCCACAGTGCCCAGAGGCTGGGCTGTCAGCTCCAGCAACAGGGTCCTGGCCCCTAACCAGGTATGAGAGTTAGATCTCTGCAAATGACTCCAAACAGTTTCCCCTGCGCAATGCACAGCTCTGAAGTACAGAGCCTGCTTTAGGAGACGAGAAGAGGTTTTCTTTGGCAAGAGGGGGGCACCTTCAGCGTCCTGGCAGGTAAATTGCTCTTGGCTGACTTCCATCTGGTGGGGCGGGAGAAGGCAGTTTCTGCCAATAGGCAGCCGTTGGTCTGTTTGCACTGGGAAGCAGACCCTGGTCTCCCCTAGGGGTCTGAGGAGCAGGGTGCCACCTCTCCTGCCAGAGTCCCACATTGCCACTTTCCTGGAAGAGACAGCACCCTCCTAACCAGGAGAGCTTCCCTGGGGTTTTAATTCCTTAGCACTGCCCGCCCCTCAGTAACACCTGAGGGCTAGGCATCTAGCCTGGCCCCTGGCATCGCTCCACACTGCAGGCTCATGGAGAATGAATCAGCACACAGGGATTCTGTCTCCATCTATCCCGCTCCCAGCACATCTTCTGCCCATGAGCCTGTAAGCGGGACTCTAGCAGGTGTCCTCGCTCCAGTCTTGCCCTTGGCCATTGCCCTGCCTCAGCTGGAGATCCTGCAGTGTTGTCCACCTCCAGCAGGAAAGACTGCCCACTCAGGGCCCTCACCTTCTTTCTTGGGTACTGTCAATCTTGTCCTTGCTGACTGTCACCAGCAGCGGGCATGCCCTGCCCTCCTCCACACCTGTCTCCCGCTGCTCAGGATGGGATGCAAGTTGACATTTGCCAATCTAATTGTATGCCAGGCCTTTTCCTCCATGGTATTCCCAGTGCTTTCCAGAATCAGAGGAGTCAGTCTTTGCCAGGCCGGTGGCTTCTCTGGGGCCATACAAACTAATGGAGCCAGAACCACCTCCAGGCCTACCCACCACTAAGACCACATCCATCATCTCTCCTCCCTGCCATCCACCTGGGCACCCCTGTCCCTGCACAGTGACCCAGATGGCAGTGGCTCTCTGGGTGTCTAGAGTGAGAGGCCTCGAGAACCAGGCCTGGGCTGCATTGCCTGGGTGCCCCAGGTCTTGCTGAGGATTGGGACTGTGGGGAAAAAAGGTACAGTCTGCCAGCGACTGGCCAGACCCCACCTGGAGCAGGTCGGCCTCTGCTCACCCCTCATTACCCATGATGTAAACACCGCCAAGGAAGTTTAGAGAAGCAGCAGTCCGTGGCAGGAGAATTTATGGAGCCCCATGAATTCACAGATGGCTGCTCAGAAGCAGCACATCCTCAGGAAACTCCCACATCTGAGAGTCAGGGCAGGGAGAGGGCAGAGGCCACTCTGGCACAGTGTCTTCTGCTGTGAGAGCCTTGAGTGGTCACTGGGGCTCAGGCCAGTTCTAGTTCTCCCAGTCCACAGCTGGTACTCACAGGTGTGTGAGCATATTGGGGTGGGGGTGGGGTGGAGAATTATTAGAAGGGAGCAGGGGCTAGGCCAGGTGTATTGAAGGGACAGGATGATGGGTGCAGGTAGGGAAGAGAGGGTCCCCTATGTGCTGGACATGCCAAGGGACAGAGGTGATGTCAGTGTGTGATGAACGCAAAACCTTCATGGGTACCGGCAGCAGGGGTAGGAACCCAGGACACACATTGCACGGACTCAGCTCCCCCGAGGTGTGAGCAGCTAGCCCAACCCCGGGGAAGGGAGAAACCACCGTGTCCTTAGAAGGAACAGTTCTGTCCGCCTCCTGCCAGCCAGTCCTTCCTGCACGGGCTGGTCAGCCCTGATTCCTCTGAGCACCACCCAGCCTTCTCCTTAGGGTTCCTATGGGAGGCCAGGACTCGATCTCATTAGAGGCAGAAAATTCCCTTATGAGAAATGGGAAGGAAAATCATGCAGTGAATAAAAGTGCAGGTTTGGGCAGAACAGAGTTCAAACTCCAGCCTCTCCTTGGACTCGCTTTGAGACTTTGCGATGGAGATGAGGCTTGGTCAGGCTAAGGTATCCAATGACACTGTCAGCTGTCACTGATGTTGATGCCTTTGACACTCAGAGCTGGTTTGAGATCTCCTCTTCCTGTGCCCAGCAGGAAGCTGTCAGGGGCCACTAACATACCTTGGGCTTACGGCACTGGACAGGAGACCGTGAGAAACATAGACCTGTGACCTCCCCCAGCTTAGCAAGACTGTGCTGGACATAGACCACTTGTCTAGCCCTGTGGCTAGTGCCCAGGCAGGACAGGAGCAGGAATAGTCTCAGGTCACAGCAGGAGAGATGGCTTTTCAGTGTGGAGCCCCAGGGCAGAGACCCTGACTCAGCCTCAGGGAGCCCCAGCTGGGCCCACACACCCCGCCTCTGGGATGGACGGGCCCTGCTAGTTCTGGTGTGCTGGGGAGCCATAAGCATACAAGCCCATGCTGTAGCAAGGAAGGCCTCCCCAGCCAGGAGGAGGCAGACGCGGACAAGGAGGGCAGAACAGCAGGGCCTTGAGTACAGGGAAGCTAAGCTGCTGCACATAAGTCACCGGGGGAGTCTGCTACCATCAGACCATAGGCCAGAGCCTGCTAGAGCACAGCCCACAGCCCACAGCCCCTGACTTGACAAGAAAGCTAAGGCCTGAGGTTGGCCCCTGGTGGCTCTTGGAGCTCTGGTTGGGTTGTGATGGAGCCCTGCTCCAGGGAGGCCTTCCCTGGTGGGCAGGATTAGACAGTGAATCCTGTTGCAGGTACTGGTTTTGCTCTGCTCGGCTGTCTTCTCTGGGCTTCTGCCCAGGCCCTCGCTGTGGCTGCTGCTGCTGCTGGAAAGCAGCTTAAAGTCTGTGGGTGGTTCCCCGTCCCTTTTGCGTGAATGGAGAATCTGAGGCCCAAAGAGCAAGACTGGCCTTACAGCACACAGCAAGCCAACACAGGCTGCACCCAGCTCTGCCTTCCCCCACAGCTGGGGCCCTTGTCAGCCCAAGCCAACTCCAGCACGTGGTGCCAGCCATTGGTGGGGCCAGGGGACACAGAGTGTTTGGCTTGGCCAGTGTGAGCTGAGGAGTGGGGGCCTAGGCTGGGAGACGGCGCCCTCGTGTGCTAAGCGGGAAGACATTTGTGAGGAGAGCTTGTCCTCTACCACCCCCAGCCCCAGCTATCTGGGACTCCTTCCAAACACTGAAACCCACTCAGGCTCCAGGGGGATGGGGAGGCAGGGGTTGCGTGTTGGGTGTTCAGTATGTGAAAGAAAGCCTCGAGGACTTGGCGAGAGGCCATGGTGAAGCTCTTCCCTGGACTGGCCTTCCCAAGAGCCCAGGAACCCCAACTTGGGGCACTCAGTGCCACACCAGCCTGCACCTCGGAACCAAGCACCTCAAGCTGGAGCTATGGAAAGGGGAATTCTAGGAACTTTGTTGTATTTGTATGTGAGCTGTCGGATTGTTTGGAGTTTTTCCTAGGGTTGGGAAGGTTACTTTTTGCTTTTGCTTTTGCTTTTGCTTTCTTCTTCAGAAAAGAAGAGGTCAGGCATCTGGCCTCCTGTGAGACACCTGAATCCTGCATCAGAGCACCTGGGTTGGAGCCCATGATGGCTCAAGCAGTTAGATCCCGGCCACCCACCCATGTTAGGGACCTGCATGGATTCCCAGCTCCCAGTCTCAGTCTCGGCTCCTGTAGGCATTGGAGAGCGAATCAGCTGGTGAGCTGAGCTCTGTCTGTCTATGTACCTTTTGGTGGACCTTTCTGCTTTACAACAGGTGGAAGTAGGCGCTGAGGTCCTGACCTCCATGGATGCAGGCAGAGGAAGGTCTTGGTCTGCACCTCCAGCCAGCCTCCACCCCAGACCGTGAAAGGCTCCATGGGAGGCATTTTCTCCTTGGCTGGCTTATCTGGTAGCAAATGCTCCAGAAACAGTGTGTCCTCCATGGACAGATGCAGACAAAAAATCCTGAGCCACAAGGCTAAAAGGAGCCAACGCCTCCTAGCACTTCCTGGGTGCCTAGCACTATGGTACTGCATGGAGAAACCCCTAGGCATGGACACCACTGGCACAGTGGGGGCCCTGAGTAAGACCCAGGGTTCTGTGGGAGTCAGAAATATCCAGGAGGGCACTGAGGGTTTCAGGGCTGATCAGAGGCCTCCATGGCAGGGAGTTCTCAGTCCTCATGGCTGAGCAGGACAATGGCAGCCAAGACGGTGGAATAGAGTCGGACCCGTGGGGTGGATCCCAACGGGGCCTGTGTGGTTTGAGGGTGGCATGGATGGGAGGTGTGAGGGGACCTTGGAAGCCACACACCGCTTCTGTTTAGAAGCTCTATTCCTAAGGCCTCATTGTGGGACGTGGTTGTCCCTCCTCCCTTGATAGCTCCTCTGGAACTGTTTAAAAACAAGATACTGACACAGCCCACCTGTAGACTCCTGGTAGGAAATAACTTTGTGCAGGGCACGGTGGGGCCTTGTGCTCGGGCATCACCACAGCACCCTGTAGAGAAAGGGCACGGCAAGTGAACATTCGTCCTATGCTATGTCCCATCAGACCAGGACGGGGGCCCAGCTCAGGCCAATTGGAGGCAGCAGGTGCTTGGTGACTCTTGGGTGCCCCTGCCTACCTACTAAGGCGGAGCCTGAGCCAGACTCACATGAGAGGCGCCTGGCCAGGATGGCACTATGGACTAGACTCGGGTGATCTGGTTACAAGGAGCTCACCAGGATGACTACAGCCAGCTGTTAGGATGCCATGGCTGATGACTCAGAGAAATGCAAGCCAGGGTGCTCCCAGATGACCAGCGGTGAGCAGGGCAGTGTGCCACCCAGAGGAGGCCAGCCACACTGCAGCCTGTCTGTTCAGCTGCCTCATGCCCACCCATCTGCCAGGAGTACCCTCTACTGTGTGCCCAGATCAGAGCCTGGCCCTACTATGTGTCCTGGAGCAAGTCACTTATCCTCTGTGCCTCTGCGTTTTGAGCAGCACAAGAACAGTCACCTCTGCCTACTGACAATGTCCTAGGATGGAAGGCACAGGCTCAGAGGAGAAGACTCCAGGTACTTCTATTACCCCAGGTGCAGACTCCTCCCCTGGGCCTTCCCGTGGCTGCAGCGACCCCTCCCAGAGCCATCCCTGGCCCCACACTGGATGGAAGGCTTCTCTGAGTGCCTGCTGCCCCCTGCACTTCCCTCCTGCTTGTGATGGACGTGTGGACTCCTCTGTCAGGATACCACTGCCACCCGCTTGCCCAGGGCTCCCTGCAGGCATTGGCTCCTGGAGCCCCAGGCTCCTTCATCCTAGAGCCATGCATCTTGCCCCCAAGTGTCCAGGTGTCAGTCTTCTCCCGATAGGGGCCTCTCTCTGCCACACCTCTGTCACCTTCTCTCCTCTTTAGCCTCTGCCTTGTCCTGTGTCTCTCTGATCATCCCTTTCCAGTCTGCCCCTCCTGAGGCCCCAGGAGCTGAGCTCCTGCATCAGGCATCTCTCACATAAACTTTCCCACCCAATACATTAAAAAATATGTATTTATTTTTTTCAAACACACAGTTTACTTCCCAGATGGCCACAGTAACCAGGGGTTGGCCAGGACGGAGTCAAGAGCCAGGAGCTCCATCCAGGTCTCCCGCACAGGTGGCAGCGGCCCAAGCACTTGGCTATCTTCAGCTGCTTTTCCTGGTGCATTAGCAGGGAGCTGAGTGGAAGGGAAAGCAGCTGGGTCTCAACCTGGTGCTCTGATATGGGACACCAGAGGCACAGGTGGCAGCCTCACTGGCCGTACCACAATGCTGGCCCTTGGGTTCTGCTTTTGTCACTTCCAGGAGAACTGCACCTGCAATTAACATTCCCTGAGGTGGAGCCTCTCGGGTTGAGCCCCCAGGATCCTGGTGGACATTCCTGCCCTGCTGTCCTCTGCATCCCAGCCACCAGGCCACCTCTCTGAACCCGTTTAAGCTCATCTGTTGAGAAGGAGCGAGGAGTTCAGAAATGCCATTCAGGGAGTCCTGTGCTGGCTATGCACTCTCAAGACACAATGGTTCCCAAGAGGATGGATGGCATCACGTGAAAATTTTTAATTTTTGTTACATACATCTCAGCAGCCACAGAGGGGAGAGTGGCCAAGTAGGGGCTCCCTGGATGAAGGTATTTAGGCTGAGAACATGGTCACTGAGTGACCTCCTCCCAAACACTGCATCCCTTATTCCTGAGACCCCATTCCTGGGGGGACCACACTGGAAACCTGAGATGGCCTGAGCTGGCCCTCAGCCTGACCCACGAGGGCAGGTGCACATCCAGAGCTCAGCCGCCAGCCTTGATGGCCGTGGGCTGCTCACCTTCACTGCCCCAGCACTTGGTCCCTCCCCAGTTCTATGAGAAAATAAACAGCCATAGAGCCAGATGTGATTCCCCCAGGACCGTGCCAGGTTGTAGCTGCTGCCATTGACGGTCACTCTACCCTATGTCTCTTCTCTCCCAGCACCACTGCCTCGCCACCCCCGCTGCCCCTCCAGCCCACCCATGGCTCCGGGACTGCAAAATCACCCTGCCAGCTATCTGAACAGCTCCACCAACACGACCCACCACGGCCTGCCAGCAGCTCAACGTCCAGCTGCCCTCAGCCCACCCTGGACCTCCTCCCCAGTGTTGCGGTAGCCATGGCAGTTCCCTTCCTGCTGCATGGCCATGGGCCCTGCTGACCTCAGCCACCCCTACAGAGAAGCCAGAGAAGTCATTGGTGGCTTTGCGGCCACCCCCACCTCCTGGGTGCCAGGCCCTGCAAGTGCAGGTGGCTGACAGGATCGGCTAGGACACTACAGCTTTATGATACCCGAATTATGTCTTCTTTTTTGTAGAAGGATCTTAATTTCCCATAGTGCTATGGGGCTCTCATGTAAAATATGTGTCCATATTAAAAGAGAAAAATGTATTTATTCTACCGATAAAACTATTCCTACATGGCCTATGTTGTAACCCCTGAGTCAGTCCAGCATCAGCATGGGATATCTGGGGCCCCATGCTGACTGTGGCTTTGAACTTGGCTTGCTCCCAGATCACCAGAGGCCCCTGGATCCAGTTTGGCTTCTGTCTCCTGCCATGGGGTCCTCCCAGGGAGAGGTGGGCAGACAAGCTTTGTTTTTGTGAAGCTGGATTTAAGAACCAGAGGTCAGGTGCAAATGGCCACCTGCTCCCCTGCTCTGGACATGGCCCTGGGCCTGGGGAGGGACTTTAGGGAGGAGTATGCTGCTATTTAGGGAACCCTAAGTGTCTGTGAACTGGCCCTCCAGCACTCTCAGCAGGCGTTGCCACCTACACCCTGGGATGAGGGACAGCTGGATGCTGGCACTAAGAAAGCTAGTCCCAGTCAGGGACAGATCAGTCAGCTGAGACCAAAGACACTGCCCACTTAGGGGCTGCCCCCCAGAGCCCGCAGCCAGCGGAGAGCAAGGGCATAGGTGTTCCTAAGTCACAGCTAGGTAGAGCGGGCTCGGCCACAATGCGGGTGGTGGGCACAAAGGGCAGCCATAGGGTGTGGAGCTCTAGGAGTCCCATGGTCATAATGGTGATGACAGTCACTGTGCCAAGCCCATGGCAAGGCAGGCACTCTACATACTCACATCGTCACTCATCCTCACTCCAGATCCATGAGCTATGATCATCTCCATTGCACAGAGAAGGAAACTGAGTCCCCCATCTATGGGCAGGGACTTGCTCAAGGCCACCCAGCCCCAGAGCAGTGCAGTCAGCCTTGCCCCTTTGGGTACTTTTCTGCCATATTCTATGCCCAAGCAGCTGCAGGGGAGACAGAGCTTGCCCAAACGAGGGCTGGCACAGGCTTCTCAGTCTAACCAGAGAAGACTCTGCAACCACGTGTGCTGTGCCCGACTCCTCTGATCTGGGAGCCCCTGAGAGGTGCACTTACAGATCAGGCCAAGGTAGGGCACAGCTCTGTGTGCCTAAAGAGACGGTGTGTTCAGGTGAGGGCAGACAGGCAACAGATGTTCAAAGAGATTCACCCAGCCCTGTGTCCCCAAAGTGGCAGCTGGGCTGATGGCTCCCCGGAACTGGAATGTACACAGGTTCCTGGACAGGTCAGAATAACAGAACAGGTGTAAGGCCCGGGGAGGCAAGCTGTGTCTCCAAGGCAGCACAGCTGGGCAGTGCTCTCTGTCTCATGACAGCAGGGCTCCCTGCAAGGTTTGGTGGCAGCAGATGAGCCACACTGCCATTGTGCCCAGCTTGGTAGCTGTCTCCCTTCGCAGGTGGTAGAAGTCATTAGCTGGCCAGAGGCCCCCGGGGCATTTGGCCATCAACTGAATTCTTTCTTGGCTCAGGCAGATGGACATGTTTGGGCCTGAGACCTGATAGAAGCTGGAAGCTATGCTTTAAACAAGCCAGCCAGCCAGCCCCGTGGGCATCACACTATAAACTGAACTTGACCTCACCCAGAGCTGGGACATTTTTCTCCTTGGCAAAAATGTGACTTCCTATTTTCGAGCGGGAAGGAGCTTAGCTGACTTAGAAAGCAGACCCAGGAATTGCACATCAAACGGGTGCTGCCGAGGGCTGAGGAGGATGAGCTAAGTGTGAAGGAATTAGAGGCACACGGTCCAGGGCCCCTCTGCCCGGGCCAGGGGATGGCGTGAGATGTATGTGGTGGAGCTTGAGGTTAATTAAAGTGAAGCACTTGGGTAAACAGTCCAGGCACCTGACTGTGTGCCCAGAGCTGTGTGCCAGGCCTGGGGCCAAAAACACCAGTGAGCAGAGAAGGTAATCATGGCACACAGCCATGCCAGGCCCCGTCTTGGGGCAGAGTTGAGGTCCTTTTCTTGGCCTGCAGAGGCTCATTGTCAAGATGGGACAAGCAGCCCAGTGCTAGGATGACCTGGGGACTCCAGCGTCTCCCTCAACCAGGCACCTGGGAGTTGAGAGGATGAGAGAAGGCCAGCTGATTAGGAAAGCAGAGGAGGCAGAGCTGGGGAAGGTTGGGCACCTGGAGCCCAGTGAGGCTGCCACTCAGGGACCAGCAGCCAATCGGGGCTGGAAGTGCCCTGCACATTTCAGGCTGCTGCAGCAGCCACTCCCTCCCACACCACTGCTGACATGGCCTCCAGAATGTTCTGTGTACTTGGCCTCGCACTCTTCCCCTGCTCCTAGGAGAGCAATGTGCACCTTCCGTAGGTCACTCCCGTCTGGCCTCAAGGATGACAGGAAAGACACGAGGCCTGGGGCTGAGCAACAGAAGGCCTGGCATGTCAGCTATGGCCCCAGCTCCCTGTCCTGAGAGACTTGACTATGTGGCCAGGAGGTGATCCTCCTCCTGTGGCCGGTCTGACCTCTGCGCAGCAGGTAGAAGTGGTCGGTTTCCATCGCTCGCTGCAGAGGTGGCAGGGCCAGGCTGCCAGGGAGCCTCAAGAACAGCTAAGCCTCGCTCCAGCGCTGGGTCCAAGATGAGAGTCTGAGATGCTTGGGACCTCGTGCTGACCCACTACAGAACCGGGGCTGCTCTGGTTTTTTGGTAACTATGAGATGAGAACTGAATTCCTTGGTCAAGCCTCCCAGATTCCCAGATGTAGACACTGCCTGGTCCATCCCAGCTGATCTCCCTGGCCATGCCTCTCCTCTCTCCCACCTTGTGTCTGGCCAGAAGGAGTATCACAATTAAAGAACAGACAGGATGTTGCTGCCCCCTACTCCTGCAAACTCCTATCTCATTCCTCTAACTGCTCATCCTTTGAGGATCAATTGCAGTAGCACCTCCTCCAGGAAGCCCCTCTGATTTCTTTGTGTTTTCTCAGCACTTATTACAATACCCACTCCCCAGAGCAAGGACTGTCAGGTTGTGTACCTGCTCCTCCTAGGACTGTGAGCAACTCAATGGCAAGAGTCATGTGAAATCACCTCTGTGGACATGCCTGGCACAGCTGTCCTCAGCAGCGACGTAGAGAGGCATGAGGGAGGGAAGGAAGCAGAGGGGGAAGAAAGAGCCTAAAGGAAGAAAAGGAAAGAAGCAAGCAGTTTTGCCAGAGGTGTGATTTCCACATAGCTAAAGCTGCGGGAGGTGGGTGGTGAGGTGCCTGTCGGTAGGGGGCTGCAAGCAGGGCCCCCAGGCCCAGGCCGCAGACATGGGAGGAGAGCTGACGTCTCGGTGGGGACCTGGTGGGGCCCTGTTGGCTCTGTACCATTCAGATTCTGTGAACATTGTTGTTTTTCCAAAAATGTGTCTCAGCAGCCAAAACCATCACCCTGGCTGGCCGTCTAAACGGGCACAGCTCAGGAGTTAGTCCAGCCTCCCGCTTCCTGCTCTCCCACAAGCCAGCAGGGCTGACCTGCTCCTCGTGAGAGGGGGAGCTTTGGGGAGGGGAGGGGAGAGAAGGGCTGGACTGGCAGCCAGGTCTCCCAGCCCAGCTCAGACCCCAGATGAAGAAGAAGGAAGGTTCCTGAGAACCGATAGGTCCTGTACCTGGCCCTAACCCCGCCCTTTCTGGACACTGCTCCACGTTGTTCAGTGACCTTGGACAAGTCCCCGCCCCTCTCCAGACCATCAGAGAGGATGTTTCCTGCCTAAGCTGTCCAGGTGCCAGGCACAGGCTTGGGGCTGTATGAGTGTGAGGTGTGACCCCTCCCCAGGCTCACTTCCTAGGCTTTCCACCTGGGGGTCCCCCAGGCTGCCATCGTGACTGACCAGTGTGCCCTGAGGAGCGTCCTGTCCCCTGGCCTGCCACAGGGAATGTGTGCTGTGTGCAGGAGCCAGGTCTCACGTGTTCCAAGGGAGCAGTCAGGAACCAGCTGGTCCATGATGCCGGACTGGGAGCCAGGACTGACCCTGGCCGAAGGAGGCTCCAGCTTGGAGGAGGGGCTGCCAGCGGCCCTTCCCGGAGCCTTGCTGGCACTGTGGCAGGTCCCCACCCTGACCCACTGTGCTGCCCAAGCTTCAGGTCTTACTCTGGAAAGTATTTGCGATGCTGTTCTCTCATCTCTGTGAACGCTCACCAAGAGTTCTTTAAGAGTATGATAAAAGACAAAGAAAGATGCTATTAATGTTATTTTGCCAAAAATATTTTTGTAGCATAATATATTAATAAAAGACATGATGGATCCCATGGCCAGGCATGTGTACATCTCTGTGTGTGTGTCTGTGCTGAAGGTTGGGGGGCAGGAGGGCGCAGCCAGGAGGCCCAGACCTGCCATTGTGGTTTGGAGGTGACCCAGTGCTGTGGAGGCCTCATGGCCAGGGAAGTGGGGGTGCCCCTCCTAAGCATCCCCCCACAGGTGGGGCAGGGAGCTGCCCAGGTACTGTAACAGGACCCAGGCCTAGTCCTCACCCCTGGGCTCTCCCTCCCTCACCAAGACCTACAGGCCATTCCTCATCAATTCTTCCCACTTCTCTCCATCCACCTTGGTCCCTCGAGGTTGTCATGGGAGCCATTGCCATCTCCATCCATGCCCTCTACAGCCCACCATCCCCTTTGCCACCAATGGATGCTCCATAGGCCACAAAAGCAGGGGTACCAGGTTTCAGCTTTGCAAATCCATCAGTGACAAGAGCGACATGGGGCTGTTTCTTCTTAGGATTCAGCCTTAAGATCTCCGGTGTGACTGCCAGCCTCCTTGTGCCCAAAGCTCATCCCTGCTCCCAGGCACATGGCGCAGGTGTATGCCACACTCTTTGCTTGGCCCACTTCTTCCTCCCGTCATG